ATGACGTCTGGCTCCAAACCGCCGCTTGACACAATTTCAGCTGCTACAGGATGGTGCTACAGGTTGGTGCCCCCCAGTTTTATTGGTTGGTTTATGGGGCCCCATCTATACAAGTATTTTAAGATATGATAAGATATTATAACCCCATCTATAACCCAATTTTTTTCTATAAGATATTATGTACGTATCATATACTATTGGTATAACATAGTTATGTTCACCAATTTAGCTAACGAACTGGGGCCCCATCCTGTATGACTGAGTATCTATATCATGAAGCACTATATAGAATTTTGCCGGAACCTTTCGAATGATTAGTTCTTGGCTGTTTTCCCGTGTCCTTATAGCCTTATAGCACCGTAATCAGTTTGAATTGACTCGGACGGGCAAAAGAAGGGAAGAAAGAAACACTGAGCACATTTGAGTACCTCTTGTGTACATATATATATACACATGATTTTATTCATATATGTATAGTGTATACTGTATGCCAACCGGCTCAAAAACTTTTGCAGGCTATATCTGAAAATCTGGAAAGATTCACAATGGAACCAAGCTACTAATGTTTTGTTGACATGCCCAGGGATTCCATTTAAGTTTATCCATTTGTTCATGGCAACCATCATTTGCTGGTCAAATATCTAATATGGACTGGTTTTATCTTCATCATTTGTAAGTCGAATACTCATGTTTGCTGGTTAAATCACATCACTTGTTTGTTGCTTAAGGATGCTTAAGCATGCTTAAACCATATCCCTTGAATACAGTGTTTACGGATACATTTTCATAGGCATACACGCACATGAATGTACACAATTGATTGTATATATTGTGTCTATATAGAATTTAAACACACACACATATATATACACACACTATTATATACATATACTGGTGCTTAATATAATAAATGCATATATATATATACACACACTATATTTATATATACATATACTGGCAGTAATACTGGTGCTTCGTATAATAAATAACATAGACCCGGGCAAGCCGGCGGCGGAAGTTTCCCAAACATAAATGACCTATAGTTCAAAGACAACCTGTCCCGACCGTGTCCTTCCATCGACAACCGTTTGATTTTTTCAGCGAGAGACGAAGCAAAGTCTTCACACTCCACACTTCACACTTCACACTTCACACTCCAAACTTCAAACTTCCCACTCCACACTTCACACTCCACACTTCACACTTCGCAGTCCACACTTCACACTTCTCACTTCTCACTGCTTCCTTCACACTCCAAACCTCACACTTCACACTTCACACTGCGCTCTTCGCACTCCAAACTGAAACTTCACACTCCACACTTCACACTTCACACTCCACACTTCTCACTTCCCACTGCTTCCTGCACACTTCACACTTCACACTGCACTCTTCACGCCCCACACTTCACACTGCTCTAAACCTACGTGCAACAAAAAAAACACTAGTGCCAAAATGGAGAAAATCTGCTAACAAATCCAGGTCGCAGCTTTCATGCAGCCACTCCAAGACGATTTCCGAGATCCAGCTGCAAAAGACAATAGTATTACGAATGCAGCCACAGCACGAAGCAACCTTGACGCAGCCACTACAATGCGATCTGCAGAGACTGAGTTGCAAAACACCATAGAACTACGCGCAACGGCGTCGGAAATTGTAGCTCCAAAACCGGATCTCGACGCCAGAGCGAAAAAAAGACGATTTTGAAGCACTTTTTAAAAGGATTTTTAGAAGGAAAATCACTAGCGCCAAAATGGAGAAAATCTGCTAACAAATCCATGTCGCAGCCTTCATGCAGCCACTCCAATACGATTTACGAGATCCAGCTGCAAAAGACAATAGTATTACCAATGCAGCCACAGCACGAAGCAACCTTGACGCAGCCATTACAATGCGATCTGCAGAGACTGAGTTGCAAAACACAATAGAACTACGCGCAACGGCGTCGGAAATTGTAGCTCCAAAACCGGATCTCGACGCCAGAGCGAAAAAAAGACGATTTTGAAGCACTTTTTAAAAGGATTTTTAGAAGGAAAATCACTAGCGCCAAAATGGAGAAAATCTGCTGACAAATCATTGTGGCAGCCTTCATGCAGCCACTCCAATACGATTTACGAAGTCCAGCTGCAAAAGACAATAGTATTACGAATACAGCCACAGCACGAAGCAACCTTGACGCAGCCATTACAATGCGATCTGCAGAGACTGAGTTGCAAAACACAATAGAACTACGCGCAACGGCGTCGGAAATTGTAGCTCCAAAACCGGATCTCGACGCCAGAGCGAAAAAAAGACGATTTTGAAGCAGTTTTTAAAAGGATTTTTAGAAGGAAAATCACTAGCGCCAAAATGGAGAAAATCTGCTGACAAATCACTGTGGCAGCCTTCATGCAGCCACTCCAATACGATTTACGAAGTCCAGCTGCAAAAGACAATAGTATTACGAATACAGCCACAGCACGAAGCAACCTTGACGCAGCCATTACAATGCGATCTGCAGAGACTGAGTTGCAAAACGCAATAGAAGTACGCGCAACGGCGTCGGAAATTGTAGCTCCACAACCGGATCTCTCAAAAACGCATTTCGTGCGAGACTTCCTTCAAAACTCCATCGGCAACTCCTCCACCAGCACCACTTGCAATCCCATTTGCAGTGAGGGAACGATCCTAGAGTTGCAAATCACAATGGAATTCCATCGGCAACTCATCCACCAGCACCACTTGCAATCCCATTTACATTGCGGAAACGATCCTACAGTTGCAAATCACAATGGAATTCTGTCGACCGCAAATGCACGAAACACAGGTGAAACCCCATTTACAATGCGGAACCGATCCGAACATGATCCGATGATCCGAGAATGATCCGACCACACACGAGACCGTCTCGCAACCGTCGCACCGCAGAGGTAGATCATCGAGGTTCGGGGACGGACTTTGTATGGAAAAACATAGGGTTTCGTGCATCTGCTATCTCTCAAAAACGCATTTCGTGCGAGACTTCCTTCAAAACTCCATCGGCAACTCCTCCACCAGCACCACTTGCAATCCCATTTACAGTGAGGGAACGATCCTAGAGTTGCAAATCACAATGGAATTCCATCGGCAACTCATCCACCAGCACCACTTGCAATCCCATTTACATTGCGGGAACGATCCTAAAGTTGCAAATCACAATGGAATTCTGTCGACCGCAAATGCACGAAACACAGGTGAAACCCCATTTACAATGCGGAACCGATCCGAACATGATCCGAGAATGATCCGACCACACACGAGACCGTCTCGCACCCGTCGCACCGCAGAGGTAGATCATCGAGGTTCGGGTTCGGACTTTGTATGGAAAAACATAGGGTTTCGTGCATCTGCTATCTCTCAAAAACGCATTTCGTGCGAGACTTCCTTCAAAACTCCATCGGCAACTCCTCCACCAGCACCACTTGCAATCCCATTTACAGTGAGGGAACAATTTCTTTGCTAACTCTTTCTGTGACTAACTCTTTCCCTCACTAACTCTTTCTTTGACTAACTCTTTCCCTGACTAACTGTTTCTTTGCTAACTCTTTCTTTGACTACCTCATATATCCTGACTAACTCTTTCTTTGACTAACTCTTTCCCTCACTAACTCTTTCTTTGACTGACTCTTTCCCTCACTAACTCTTTCTTTGACTAACTCTTTCCCTCACTAACTCTTTCTTTGACTAACTCTTTCCCTGACTAACTGTTTCTTTGACTAACTCTTTCTTTGACTAACTCTTTCCCTGACGAACTCTTTCTTTGCTAACTCTTTCTGTGACTAACTCTTTCCCTCACTACCTCTTTCTTTGACTAACTCTTTCCTAACTCTTTCCCTGACTAACTGTTTCTTTGCTAACTCTTTCTTTGACTAACTCTTTCCCTCACTAACTCTTTCTTTGACTAACTCTTTCCCTCACTAACTCTCTGTTTGACTAACTCTTTCCCTGACATTCTAAAAGTCCGTAACACGGAAGTTTCTCCCCCTAAACTTCCTTTGATAAATATAAATATAAATGTAAATATAAATATATAATATATATAATATATATATTTAGATACATATGTATAGATACATATGTATATATAAGATATGCATTTATTTTTGTTTATACATCCCCCCATGCCAGGAACAACATCAGCTTCACCCTGGCCATCAGCAGCTGCGAAGCTGGTAGTGCCTGGCAGGAGGCCATCCGCTTGCTGAGGCGCCCATCTCGCGACCGGGTGGATGGCTGGATTTTCCTGGAAAAAGACAGGGAAAACATATGAAACCACCTGATTTTAAATGATTTTATGTGATTTTTTGTGATTTTATGTGATGTTGGGTGATTTTGCGTGATTTTGGGTGATTTTATGATTTTGCTTGATTTTGGGTGATTTCATGTTTTTTTTTACTAGGACAAAAGTTGGAAACTGAGGTTTTTAACCAGTTGCGGAACCGGGAAAAAAGGATGGAGTCATCCTTCAATTTGGTGTTCCGATCTCATCTTTGGGAATGGGAAACTACAATTGTTACCCTCTGGTAAACATACAAAAAACATCAAAAAACTATATATGGAAAATCACCATGTTTCATGGGTAAATCAACTATTTCTATGGCCATTTTCAATAGCTATGTTAGTCATTACCAGAGGTAAAAAAGAAGAACTAAAAGAAGAAATCAACGTATCTAGGCTTGTCGTCTGCAGGGTATGAATGACTGTAAATGGGTAATTGGGCCGTGTATAAGCAGGGCATGATCATGGCATTTGCGCTGAAACCGCCACCACAAAGATGGAAGCAAATAAGGGTTTTGTAAATGTCGGATGATCTTCCAAGTATATATAGTAATTCGTTGAATTAGTTTTGATGATTCCCCTGTGGGCCTTACAACCGATGGATAGACACAAGAAGATCTGTTTTATCCCATTTTTCCTCGTTTCAAGATCTCATCTTCCAGCCGGCCAATGTGAAAGCCTCAGTTGGTCACCTTTCCCATGATTACCAGATATTACCAGATATTACCAGATGTTTCAATGGTTGATACAGTTGATGCATATGTCATTTGGCTATGTAACTAGCCAGATTTCTTTGGATACCATGGGTAGAATTGAGGTGTGAAAGATCCACTGTGCCACTATGGGGTGAAATCTCCGTTGGTAACAGGTCAAAAACACCGGTCAACCAGCTGAATGCTTCAAGACAACTCATGTTTCGTTTTTTACCAACAGACTCGCATAGATCATTGATAATCATTGCAATTAGCAAGATGTGTATTTGAAGTAATAGGTCAAACCTATTCAAACCTATATTGCCATATTTGGGAGAATAAACATCCATTAACCAGCTATGCCTAATCGGGTACCCGCGACAGGCGCATGCCCGGCATCGGCCCCCCCAACGCTGGAGCCGCGTTGAACAGCTGCGCCAAAGGTGCTGCGTGGCAAATGGCGCTGGAAGTGTTGGAGAAGCTGCCAGAGTGGCAGGTGGCCAAAAAAGATTTGGGATTTCATCAAAAAAATGTGAAAACATTGGGATTTAGATGGATTTAGTGATTCAATCATCAAAAAACTGGTGAAACATGGGATTTTTATCTGGATTCAATGGATTCCTGGGTGGGTTTAACCATGAAACATGGAGAATTCAATGAAAAATTGCAATGCTTTTTCATGGGATCTTAATGGGCTCAATCATCAATGGGGGATGGGTCAAAAGCCATGGAGCCCCCTTGGGGACGACTGTCTATTATGTTGTCTGCCAGTTTGATGGGAGTTACGCATGCATACACATGTACAGTATGTGTATTATATATATATATATAATATATACATACACATGCACTCTAAGAATAGTGGGATTCAATGGTGATTGAATGGGGACTGCCCTGGGCGTATCCAGAAAAATGGATTATACAGTCCCGCAAGTTCCAGCTCGCCGTTTCCAGATTGCTGATCTCACAGAGACACCGATGGAGAGAGAGAGAGTCCCACCCCTTGTTGTTGTGTTGTAGCAAGGACAAAACATAGGAGTCTTGCACAAAAAAACATCAACAGCCATTGTGTGTTTGGTGTCTCGAAGCAGCTGTGATTAAAGATATGTAATTTTCACACGGTGGTTGGTGTAACTTCACCAAACACCACAGTTAAACACATGTCGGTGCAATTTAGTCAGCCGGTGATATTTCAGGTGTTTTGGATACGGTGGATGGTTGCGAAATCCTGCACCAGTTGGTACATGGTTTATCCCGTTATACTCCCATCAATTAATAATCCCGTTTATCCCATTATATCCCATTATAATCCCATTAATCTTCCAATCCCATTACAATCCCATTAATTATGGGATTATAACCAATGTTTAGCCAGCAGTATATCTCACCTTTTTCAACATCAGGTGGAGCCAGGTTTGGTGAGTTACAACATCGCCCTAGACGCCTTGGTCAAGGGCCAGGTGTGTGGGTTGGTTTGGTCCAGGGGCTGAAAAGTTGGGGGGCCAGAAACGCGGTTTTTTCATGGTGTTCACCAAGAGAAATTGTGATTTCATAATGATTTATCCAACAAACACGGTGATTCAGCTAGATAAAACACTAGAAATTGTGATTTAACCAGTAAAATGTGGGGTTGGTATTGGATTTATGTTGGCTAGCTTAGTTGAGATAACTAATTGGGCTATTTGTTGGGTTGATAGTGGATCATGATACATCGAACCAGTTAGATGGGGTAGCATAAATTACCGGGCAAAACTTGTGGCCCCACACAATGATGGTTCAGATTGGTTGACTTTTGGTGTGCACATGTTTATTCCTAGTGTTTTGTGTGGCTCGACGGAATTTACTTACCACATGATAAAGTCAAACTTTGGGCCAAAAAAATCAACAAACCACCAAGTTAACAATACTGATCATTTTCCGGTTTGCCTAAAGGATGATCCCATTATATAGTTCCATATAGTTTCATCCTTTTTTGTGTTGGCATATGTTGGTATGTTCTGTTCACTTTCTTGGATGTTCACTATAGGACCTTTCTGATGATCCATGTGCATGTGGAAAACGATGGGCTGCGCAGAAGAATTCTCGGGCTGACGCTACTGACCCTGACTTGCTTTAGCCATTCATCTCTATTTGATAAAACATGATAAAACCATTACCCTCTGGTAATTTAACATAGCTATTGAAAATCACCATTAATAGTGGATTTTCCCATCAAAAATGGTGATTTTCAATAGCTATGTTAAATTACCAGAGGGTAAACCCTAAGAATTTCAGTGAAGTAGTGAAATAATTGACTACCGCAGGAGTGGCAGCGCTGCCTACATCTCTTCCATCGGATGCCGCAGCTTTCTCGCCAGCTCCAATGGTCTCTGGGCAGCTCTGGTTTTCTGGGTTTGAATGATTTGAATGGTGGAAAATGATGAACACTTGGGATTGTTCAATATGAGAAACGATGAAAACTTGGGATTTAACATGATTTCACCATCAAAACAGGTAAAAGAACTTGACGTTCGACCATTTTTACCAACTGAAATGACCTTGGGATTTTCACCAAAATGAAGGTTTTGATATAGGCTGATTTAATGGTCCTTATATGTGGCTTTAGACTAAGATAGCGAGATAATTTGTTGGACTATCACCAACATAGATATGGTGTTTTTTGGTCTTTATTATGGCATATACAGTATCATATACAGATATATGGCAAACTACACATTATATTCATATACACATATTATTTTGGCATAATGTATATGTTATTACGTACTATACTATTAATTGGGCAGCCATATGTGTACAGCCATTCATTGTTTGGAGATGGGCTGAGAGTTGACCCCTGACCAATCTTTGGCCCTAGGCAATTGTCACAAGCACTTCTTGATCCAAACAAAGTAGGATGTTTGGGGTTTACTGGCTTCTTGTGGACCAATTGTATATATATACGTATACCACCATCAATATATGAATATGTATAAATATATATATGAAAAATAGTGTATATATATATAACTTATATAACAGATGGAAATATTTTAGATGTATACATATATTTCACAATCAATGAGAATCGAGAATTAAGAAAAGGCGAAGTCAAAGAAACAGAAGGTACTGCCCTCTGGTACTTTCTATCACATTTTATCATAATCTAACATAGCTATGGAAAACCACGATGTTTAAGAGGTAAATCATCCCTAAATGGGCCATCTATACCATAGCTATATATCCCAGCATTGAGAATATATATATACCCGAGGGGCCCCAGGTTCTCCGATGGAGAAGCGGTGGGGTTGGGTGGGGTGGGGTGGGGCATGGTAGCGTCATGTTACGTTGCTGCTACGTTCATGGGAGGGGTGGGGTGGGGTGGGGCATGGTAGCGTCATGTTACGTTGCTGCTACGTTGATGCGGCCTCTCGGGTATATTTGTAAATATATATATATATGTATATATATATTTATTGATGTCTATAGAGCATAGAAACACTGATCGTATTGAGCATAGAAACACTTTAGCTGTTCATTACTTGAATAAGAACCCTGGTCTAGATGCAGTGCTGTCAGCGTTGGCTCGCTTTAGAAGTACCCTTTCTTGTGGCCTAGTGGCTCCATCGCGAGCCTTCCTCGAAGCTCCGTGGGAAAAGTGAAAAAAAAGTTACACCGTTGTATTTCTGACTTCTGAGAACATAATGTATGGCACAAGATGACTCTGCTTTAAAACGGACGAAAAAAAATTGATCCGTTTAACATGATGTTGAAAAGGACGTTGCCACTATTGAAAAATTAGCAAATTACCTAGGCGCCAGCTGTTTTTTTACATCTTCAAGCTCAAACACAGCTGAGGGTATCGGAGAACCTGAGGCCCCTCGCGTATATATATATGTATGTAATGTAATGTAATGTAATGTAATGTAATGTAATGTAATGTAATGTAATGTAATGTATGTTATGTTATGTTATGTAATGTAATGTAATGTAATGGTATGGTATGGTATGGTATATAAGTATGTAATGTAATGTAATGTAATGCATTGGTATGGTATGGTATGTTATGTTATGGTATGGTATGTATGTATGTATGCATGCATGCATGTATGTATATTTATATATCATTCATAAACTATCTCCCTTGTTTCTATTTAAATTACCATTATCCAATATATAATAGGTATCCCATTATGAATTGTGAAGGTATACGCTATATACATCATTTATACCATTATTGTTTATAGCTATTGCAATATCATATATATATATATATATATACACATATTTTCCCAATTGTTCTAGTTGAATCAGTTAACTCTCCATTGTCAATTATGAAGGTATAAGTTATATATGTATTTCATTGTCCATAAAACATAACTATTATTACTGGTTATATATGTATATCCTAAACACTATCACCATTTTACCTGCATATACAGTATAGCCATCTATATACCATATATATATAAATAGTGAAGCCAGATATAAACCATGTATAAACCTAATATATCACTGGAAACTTCGGAAACGTCCTTTGCCCCAGGGACCGCTTCAGCTGCAGCTCAGCCATCGCGGCCTGCGTCCGGGGTCAGCTGTGGTCAGAAGCCAAAGACCTGGCTGCACTGATGCAAGGGACAAGGAGTTTGGGACCAGAAAACGGTGAGGCATCTGGAATCTATGAACACAATCATATAGATAGTTGGGGATACTGTAATATTATTATATCACTATGGATGGATAGATAGATACTAGATGGGTAGAAACTAATCCTTTAGTCTTCTGGTATAGGATTATCTACATTTCCCACCTAAGAATTTGATTTTTTGCAGGTATCTAAGATTGGCCATGCCTTTGGGTGACAGAAATTGATACCCTCTGGTAAACTAACGCAGCTATGGAAATCACCATTTTATAGCTGGGTAAATCAACGAACTAAATGTGCCATTTTGAATAATCCATTCCGGGGACAGGATTTAATGACCATGAAGAAGAATAAAGAAGATATTCATTGAATCATCAATTATTGAAGGATCGGGATTTAAGCATCAAACGCAGGGATTAATACATTCAACATACAGTTTCAACCATCAAACATAGGGTTTTAAACATCAATCGTAGGGATCCAACCATGAAACATGTTAGCTTGCGTTGCGAAACGTCTACCTGGCAGCTCCAAGGTGTCGTCCACCAAGGCTTCGGCACAAACATTTCAATACTGGTCAAAAGGTGAAAATTGTATATGGGTTTTTCGGGGGGGCACGCGCACACACGCACACACACATATATATATATATACACACACTGTTACACACTGTGTATAACATTATTTTATATAATATAAAGACATATATGTACATGCATGCACGCAGTCAGACGGACAGCCAGCCAGCAAGACAGACATACATACGTACAAACATACATACATATATATATAATATATAATATATAATATATAATATATCATATATCATATATATAATATATCATATATATATATATTATATAATATATAATATATAATATATAATATATAATATAGTATATATAATATATAGTATATATATATTTATTGTATTATATATATAGGAACACACACATATATATATATGAACACACACACATATATATATATATATGCACACATATATATATATACACCATATTATAATATAAGAAAGTACACACACACACATATATATATATATCTATGCGCAGGATACCCGAATGATATCCATAGATTTTCACCTTGTCAGGAGCCCTGGTCCCCACAGTACGCCTGGCAAAAGAGCGGCTGAGGGATGAATGTTAAATTTGTGACTGGTTTGCCAAAGGGGACACGGTTTCAACCATGGTTTAACCATTTAAACATGGTGATTGCATAAGGAGTTAATGGTATACATACGTATATATATATATATATGATTATATATGTATCTATATATATATAAATAATCCGGATTCCCCCTTTCATTTGAACCCCCCCCTAAATGGTCCCAATCAGTGGTTTCATCCCCTAAGAAATGGTTTCTGGGGGGTGTTTAATAAGGGGAATGGGATTACGCGCATACGCGTGTCCACCGCTAAGGATTTTTCATGAGAATTTAGTGTCAGGAAACGGTGTATAACCGCAGCGTTGGCTATTCCAATAGGGACAACGGCGAATCAGAGGGTTGAGGGGTGCTTTAATTTTAGACAAACCGATGTATACCCACCGGTCATTTAACATGGCGTAACATGGGTTAAACACGATTTTCATGTTCTCAACGAGCAGTTGCCACTTGACAACAATGTGGTATAAAACTACAATGACTCGGTGCAGGATAGGATAAACCTGGGTTGGGGAGTCAAAAGAACTTGTATCCACCATGGACCATGGGACAGTTTCGAGCTACTTAGCACGATGGTGAAGGATGTACCCTTTGGTAAACTAACATAACCATGGAAAATCCCCATTTTATAGCTAGGTAAAGCATCTATTTCGATTAGGGCCATCGAAAAACCATGGCTATGTTAGTCATTACCAGAAGGTATATTTTTTTTAGCAATCCTTTTTCCAAAGCCCCAATCCAGATCCAGAATGATCCAGCACATTCCACCTAGATTAACAACATCCTCTTTGTTGGTATCTTTATACCGTCATACAAACCCATACACTAAGATTTTACTAACCACACTGGGCTATGTTGACTTTGGGGACCAATGTAGATTTGTGATGATTTGTGTATGTGCATATATATATACTGTATATATCATTATAAATAAATGAATGCCGAGCGAAATGATATACACATATATGATCATATATGTACACATTTTCTGTGGGTTCGTTCTTGTCTCAAGCACCAGCCAACACTCGGCTACATGTCGGCAGCATTTAGATCAAGTGCCGGGCAACCTGACAGGCGCTGTTGGTTGCCATGGTTCGACGGGCTTCAGGCTGTGTGCTGCCCCTGGACTTGCTATGACCTGCTATGATTTTTACTCTCCCCATGGGTGAGTATGTGAGAAACCCAAGAGCAAAAATACCATTTGGGGATCATAGTTGGCACTCATTTATAGTGATTTTGGGGACGGTTTATTATTAGGTTTACCAGTTTATTTCGTTTGTAAACAAAAACGGGGGATGCGATGCTTTTCCTTTTCGTGGGGGCCTTATAATAGCAAGTCCAAAATGTAGCCTGATTGGTGGTTTCGGATATGTCAAATCCGAGAAGAATGGGGGTACATACAGTATAGCAATCATTATATAGATGGGAAACTTAACAACACACCCATCCCCCTGATACCAGATACCAGCCCACCCCGGGTTTATTATGGAACTTCAAATGTTGGGAAGGGAAATCATTGGGACATCATTTGGATATAGTGGAATAATCGATATGATATGGTTACCCTCTGGTAATTTAACATAGCTATTGAAAGTTGCTATTGAAATAGTTGATTTGCCCATTCAAAATGGTGATTTTCCCATCAGTTTTGTGTGTGTTCACCAGAGGGTAATCCCCGGGGTATCCCTGATGATCTAAGGCTGGCAGTCGTTTGCTGCGTAGCCGTGGCCACGTGGACCTTTCTACCACCTGGCGCGCCGCGGCGGGCCTTGCCGCTGCTGCTGGCTGGTAGCGCTGGCGCTGGTCCGGCACGAGCAGTCAAGGGAAAGGCGGTGGATGAAGAGCCAATTGGTTTGTGAATTCACTTCATGTGGTAAAACCCAATAAATAAACCTCAATTGTGGATGAATTTGGATTGGGTTTACCACATTGCATTTATCGCATCTTTTTGTTTCCAAAGATAAAGCTTAGTTTGTGATTTCTTTTGTTTTCCACTATGTTCCATCCGAATTGTTTGTTTTCTATTTCTTGTTCCGGCCATCTCGATTTGGGATGAATCATGATGAATCCAGGACGAACTTTTCCATCCCTCAACATCTCCAGGTCAGCCGAAATGGACAAGCTCGGATCGATGCTGGAGAAGAAATGGGAAAAGGTGAAGCCTCGCTGCACCAGTCTAAAGATGACTGGTATCAAAGCTGGATATGGCGTGTCTAAGAAGAAAGAATTGGAGGACACCGTGGTTTGCGATGATGGCGGGAAGCCTGAGTCAAAGGACCAAGAGTGAAGAAAGCGAAGAAATTCTGAGAAAAAGGAGTGCAAAAGTTTGGAGCCAACCTGTTTGGAGAGGAGGGTTAACCATCGCGAACTCTGTGGGTTTCAAGAAATTTTGGAGGGGCCACCGCTCCACAAATGGTGTGTCGCAAGTTGCCATCATAGATCATGGTGGCCAGTTTTTTTTCTTACCACCCAAATAAATTGAAATAAATAAGGATAATAAGGCACTTTCCTGCAAGTTTTCCGTTTCCTTCAATCATCTCTAGTGAGTAGCTGCATGGCTTTCCCCTAAAAAGTACCCTCTGGTAAACATACAAAAAACTATGTGAAATTACCATTTTATAGCTGGGTAAATCAACTATTTCAATAGCAATTTTCAATAGCTTTTTGTATGTTTACCAGAGGGTACCTTACTTTCCAAGCAGATCTTTCTGATTTGAAGACCTTTCCAGTGCTTGGTGATGCCCCGGTACCAGGATGATCCCTGACTGTGAATTGGTAAGTGGGATACCACACTGTAATTTACATAGATCATGTATAACATGTAAGCCAATGTAAGCGTGGGTCAATTGAATTTTTGCATGCTATAAATCAGCAATAAATCAGTATACATGTGCTAAATCTAAATATTCCATTAGATAAACACATGACTAAATAAATAGATAAATAAGTAAATATATAAATAATATATAATACTATAATATATATATATATTCAAGTAATACTCCAGAAGTCCTGCTTCAAATGGAAAATTATGTCGTTTGGGGATCCCAAGGGTGGCATCTTCAGCATTCGTCATTTTTTTCGGTTCTGATTCGTTTGCGGATGGGGAAGGGATTGCTTTATATTACCCTCTGGTAAATGAACTCGTTGACCCTGAAAATAGCCTAGTTTTAATGGAAACTCATCTTCCAACCCCATCCAACCCCTATCTGCCAGGGTCTATGTTGACACTCCCGAAATTCAGCTGGGTGAAATCACAGAAGTTCCTGCAGCCATCAGCCATCACAGTGGTAGGCGCTAAGGAAATGATGTGGAGTTTCAATAGGCAAAGCCATTTACTGCGGAGTTTTTGCAGCAAAGAAACTTGCTGAGTCTGGAAACTCTGGAAACTTAGCGGACATCCGATACGAAACATTGCTGCAGAATGCAACGAAACTGAAGATCAGGTGTGCGCAATAGCATATATCTGCACCAGTAGTGTATCAGCACCGACCATTTCTCTAAGTGAGCCGAGCAAAGAATGACCATGGATGGCACTTGGGAGGTTGGGAAGAGACATACTTGATGGATATTGGATTGCCATACACTTAGGCTTAATGCGTGTTTGGGGTTGGATGGATATACGCGATAGTATCCCACTAAAAGTTACAGCAACCAAACTCAGCAGGGGACCAACAAGCCATAACAAACCACCATGTATACATGTTACAGTGGCAAATAATCATCTTCCTAAATAGTATCGAGCAATCGTGTGGATGAAAGTGGATAAGCATGGATTGTGTGAAACTTTCAATCAATAACTATAGCAACCCCAAAGTAGATAGAAAGTCTAAAGTCTGGAATTTTGATGTAAACATCATCTATACCTATACCATATTACACAATCCTGGAAACACTTTTCTATCTTTTTGATTCTTTTTGGGGTTGCTATACTTTAATATCGATAGCTGGATGTTAAATATCACTTGGGACACAACCAGTTTTAACACACGTGTGTGGATGAATAGCACTTTCATAGCTTCAAACGACTAGCCAACACAAAAGTTTGGGACGCCGCGTGAAACATGGCCTCAAAAGGCTTTGTGAACTCTTCTTTCTACCCACCTTTTCCAAGCCATCACCATAATGGGGAAACCATCTAAGAATGACCTTGGTCATGCTGAATTTTCATGAATTTCTGCTAGTAAAGCAAGTCGTTTTCCTGATATTACAACCCCAAAGTCAGATTTCAAACGATTTACCGGCCATTCTTTTCAACCCCCCAAAAATAAACCAGACATTTTCCCGTGTCGTTTCAAAACGCGTCAGTCTCGACCCCTGCCGTCCTTTGGAGCGGCCTTGGAGCATCCGCCGGGAAGCCTTCTGATTGACCTTAGATCACTGCCCGTTGGCCCTTCAAACACCCTCAAAACATAGTAAAAGGACTCAAAGTCACGGGATAAAACACAATTTTTCGAGCTAAATTCTAGGATTTATATGGATTTATGGTGATGAAATACATATGGCTAGATTTTGATGAAATAAGTTGTTGAGATATGGGTTAAATGAATTTAATTTTAGCTAAATCATCCATTGTTTGGGATGGTCAGCCAGCATTTTTTTTGTTACGCACCATCCCAGCATTAACAATGGAGGTTTTTAATAGGACAATCAACTATAAATAGGGGATGTGCCATCGCCCTGTTTGATTAAATCATGAGAAATCATCTGCAAATGAGTCATTTTCAAGGTAAACATACCATTAATAAAGACCCTGCGAACAGATGAGAATAGACAATTTCTACTGTAGAGAACTGGTCTGCCCTCCCTACTTTTAGCAGGGTCTATGTTAGTTTGGGGGACTGTATATAATATGTCTAAGTCACTTCCTGCATTTTTTCTGCCATAGATGGGGATCATATTTTTTGGTTGGGTGGGAAATTGCCCCAGTACAAAACCGCGATGGACATTCCGCTCCTCATTGATACTTCGTCATGATATTGAAAGGTATCCAAGATTTAAATATACCCTCTGGTAAACTAACATAGCTATGGAAAATCACCATTTTCAATGGGAAAATCCACTATAAATCACCATTTTCAATAGCTATGTTAAATTACCAGAGCGTATTTAAATGATATTGGGCTATTGGATGGTTCAGTCAGGCTCCAGTTTCACATAGTTTCACTCAAAAACTCCTGGCACTTCAAAGCACCACAAATTGTGGGGATGGTGGCCATTTCCGGGGCGGATCTTCAGCAGCGACTCAGGGTGTTGGGTCACCTGGCTGCGGGGTTTCCTGTAAGATTCCCCTGGAAAATCATCATGACGAATGCCATGATATGTGATGTTGGTGAAATCCCAATGTCAATCCATAAAAGTGTCAGACATGAAATGTCATGTTTCTTGGTTACACCTTTTTTCATTATATATTTTCAGGTTATATACTGCCCAAGTAAAATTCCATTAAATCCCATTAAACCCGTGTAAAAATTATTAAATGTCACTAAGCTCCCATGAAATCCCTTAAAAAATCACCATATTCTTTGTTGCTTCGTTAAAAATGACTTTCCTTCCAGATCCAGATCCTCCGCTTCAGGTCCAGCCCCTCACCATCTGGAAGCCCCACAGTGGTGGAGGATGAATTGGAGGTTCTGGGAATCTTCATGGAGTGATGGACTGGACGTTTAACGGGATCTCAAGTGGATAGGAAAAATAGGATGAAGATTCCAGGATTCCAGTTATGAATGGGAATAAAACGGAATATATATATGTACATATATATATATATATCTACAATATGCATCATGGGATATTAATGGATTATTGATGGGATATTCATGGGATATCAACTGGGAATAAGTATGAAGAAATATAAATCATGAGATAATGATCCACCGTAGAGTCTCCAGTGGTATTGATATGCCTGATGGTTTCAGATATTCAAGTTAATCCCCTCCCAAAAATGGGTGCATAAATCCTAGGATCTCCCAGGCGGAATTGCGCTAGCGGATTTCCGGTGAACCTTGTGCCACGCAAAATGTGGATCTTCGGTGCTTCCTGGAGATTTTCCCTTTAAACCAGTAAGATCTCCTGTAAACTGTAGATTCTTCGTTAGTGGAATTGATGATCTCCGCTTTTTGGGGGGTGAACTAAAAACATTTGGATAATCCCTGTTAGATCAGTGGCAAAACTGCCTCTATAGCTTTATTTGCTATTTTTGTTCGTCAAGATTCCCATTTTGGTGGTTAAACCATGTGAAATAAATCCCGATTCTTCATGGGTTAAATCAGTCAAATCCCGGCTTTTATGCTCAACCACCAATTTGTTCCACACTTTTGTTCGCACAGTGAACAAGCACTGCCGTTGCCAGGCAGCAGCGGTGCGTACACAGGACCTGCTTTGCTTGGGAATCACGTTGGCTACACAGAAAACACGGATCTCTAAGAAAATGGACATCTATTGAGGGCTTGTAACGTCAGGTGAGTTTCCTGACTCATGGGTGATCCATTAGATGTGTGGGCAGTGGGCTGGGGCATCTGAACATTCAGCCGCTGCAGCATTGGCTAAACATGAAAATCCTGGCCAGTAGCCAGCCAGTATCAGCCAACTGAGCACCTCAGGGAACCCATCATTGCGAAGCCTTGATGTAGGACACACACATGGAGAGAGAGAGAGAGATATATATGGATACACATTTTGATGTACATATATGTACATATGCTATAGTGGCTTTTATAGGTGCTTCAGCATGCCCTGGCACTCTTTCTGGCAAGACTTCATGATTCCCATCAACTGACCTATGCCATCCTATGCCATCCTATAGTCCCAAAGCAACAAGAAACACCACCGTATAAATCAGCACTTGGACACCGTGTTGCGCGCGTCTAAGACGCGTGTGACGCGCGGAGAAAATGCAGCATGTGGGCCCGAAAGGCCCGACATGGCCCGAGGTCTGTGGTACTTGGGACGTCTCCGAACTTCGCAAGTCTGGTTGACACCGTTGGGTTCATCAACATACCCTCTGGTAAACTAACATAGCTATTGAAAATGGTGATTTATAATTGATTTACCCATAAAAAATGGTGATTTTCCATTGATATGTTAGTTTACCGGGCACCGGGTATCTCAAGATTTTGTAGTCGAATTTTCGCATAATATGCAGCAGATAATACCAGAATAGAACAAACTAATTAATCAGGCATTATAGCCCAGCAACTAGTCATTTTCTCAAATTTCATAATTCATCATAATTCATCCATCATCCAACTACAGGTTTTAAGCCATTCTGCTTCACTATCACCTTGCTGGCAACATCAATGCCACTCCAGCGGGGAGCTGGGAATTCCGCAATGAGCAGGGTTGGCTCAGTGAATCCTATTCCCCGACCTATCCCCCTATGAAATAGATTGAAATCGCACCCCCCCTGTTAAAATCTATTAAACTCAAAACATACTTACAGCATTGGATCTATATGTTCATATTAGGATACTTATGAATCATGGTCATCGACCACATGTTAAGTAAGATTAGGGGACACCGATCCGGTTTTGCCCACAATCCCTAGTTAGAAGACCATGGCTTTCCTATAGATTCCCCAAAAATGGTTGAACACCCCATATTTCCTAAGAAAACAAGATATGTCAAACCAGATTTCCTGGTAAAACCATGGTTTTCCCTATCAAAAACCATGGTTTTCCCATGTTTTCCCGAACGAAATCCACCTTTCCAGGTTGGTGTGCCGCCAAAATGGGCCTCCCGCGTGAAAGTCGTGGCGCTTTCGGTCTTCACCGCAAGCATCGGCATTGCCATGTTCATCGGCATCAAACACTGGCGGTGTGGGTTGATGATTTTCTTTAGTAAGGCATAGTAAGGTTGTTGTATATATATATATAAATATGTATATATAGATACAGACATAGATTAATTATTAGATTCACATGGATGGATGGATAGATAGATAGCGAATACAAACTGTCTTGATCCACGGACAAACATGTTTTGTTCGCCACGCGTTGCTGACGGTCAGCTGGGGACGGATTTTTGCAATTTTTTGTCCATCAGCTGGCGTCGATTGAATGATTGGGATGCCAAAGAATCATGTGGAGTCAAGGTGTATGAAACATTGGGATTCAGCATCCATTTAATGGGGATATCATGGGCACAGGGTATATGATATATAGATATATTTATACACGTAATGGTTGATGTAATGATTTTGGATGAAACAAGTCGCACATGTCTATCAACTCTTGATCCATCTGGGCAAATTGTAGCGACCGCCAATGGTGCGAATTGGATTGGGGTTTGGTCAACCCCAAATGGTCAGAAATGTCCCAGATCCTATGGACTCATTTGATACAAATATAAATAACCTATCCTATATGGTGTGATCTTGTAGTCTTATACTATATATCCTATCATGGCGCATCCATCTATCCCACAGTTCTTTTTTGTTCCATCAATCTGTGCATAGCTGCCTCATGACCTTACCAGAAATGATGGCTTCTGCAGAAGTTTGGGTCTTGCAAACTGCTTGCGGTAGGATATTGATGATTGAAGTTTTCTTGAAATTAGTTTCATATATCAAGTTTGGCTGAATTATCACCCAAACACAAGTTGGCGAAGTAGGTTTCTTTCAAGTTCCTGGTTGTCTCCCCGGGGTTGTTGCTGTTGAAATAATAATATGAAGGATATATGATTATTAATGGACCACTAGATTGCTGAAGATTTTACAGCACATCTTCCAACAAATTTCAGTGCATACAAGTCACCTCAGTACAGGCATGATCAAGCACCACGGACATCAACCAGACATATCAAGACATCAACCGCATCAACCATGACATCAACCATCAACTAACATCAATTGACTAGATGACATCAACCATCAACGAACTGACGGCTCCGAGTTATGTTCAAAGTTTTTGCGGGTCCTGAATGGTTCTGAGGTTCAACTTTATGATGAATCTGAGCATCGGTCAATTAGATTTGGCGAAGCCTCGCCATGAAGGCGACGACAAGGTCTATTGCTTTATGGCCACTGGTTACAGGTGGGGATCTGGAGCGACGAGGAGTCCAGGAGCTATGGTTATCATTGGTTATCCATCTTTCCGAAAAAAAATCTAGCCGTCTGAAGCAAGGAGCTACAGTACATACTTGGGCTTCGGCCCCATCGAAAATGGGATGGAAATAGTCAAATTGGGCCTTCAGTGTTGAGCCACGGGGTGATGAGCTCAGCTTTTTGTAGTGGCAGTAGAAGATTTGAAATTTGCCATGTCTATGCATGTGTAAATGTGGCAAATCATCTATTGTACGTGTTTGTATTTTTGTTATATATATATATATATCCATATCCAGTATGAATCTATGAATCCCTCATCATCTCCCCAATACTGGTATCATAGGGTTTAACCCCATGTTGGCAAGTTCTTTCATCATCTTTCATCCATATTCATCCCCAATTTGCAGCATGTTTGCGCTTCAACCAGTATTAAGCAATCATGCTTCTTGGAAGTTTCCATATGAAATTTCCATATTTTTCCAGCTGGTCCCGATATTAAACCATGATTTCTCTGTGGGGAGGCCCCACATGTTGACTTCATGTCAAACATGTCCGTCAGATGTGATTCGGATGAGAAGATGCAGCACTTTCTGGTGCGTTTGGAGTCGGGGTTCCTGGTGACTGGATTATGACTTTCCATGTGTTGGGAATTTATTTTAAGCCCAACTGACGAACTCATATTTTTCAGAGGGGCTGGTATACCACCAACCAGATGATGATTAACCAGGTTTGTGGATATTTGGGGCAACCTGAATTGTTTCCAGCACTTTCTGGAGATATTTTTGGTACGTTGAGGCAACTGAAAATAACATATTTATACATGTTTTTCCATGTGTTTTTCCCACTAAAACGTTCCAGTTATAGGAGGATTATATATCCTTGAAATCTCCCCATTTCTCGGCACATCGCCATGGAAATCTCGGCACATCGTCAAGGCACAAACATCGTCGCCCATTTCCGGATGTCTTGGAGTGTGAGGTGCAGGACGTTCAGCTTCTTTGGCGTAAAGATAGGGGTGGGTGCAAGGAGCCAGCTTGCTTATTTTATAAAGGTTTGCAATGGAAGCCATGGCCCATTTATAGATGATTTATGTTGCTTTTTAATGTTTTTTAGATGATGTACCAGTTTTAATAGGTGAATCATGTTTAACATCGAACATGGGCCATGGCTTCCATAGCTATGTTAAATAGCCAGAGAGTATTCGGTGGTAAATGGAGGAACCGAGGAGTCAGAGCTTCCTAACCACATGATTTTGGAGGCACATGCCGGAATCCATAGGAGTAGAAGCCAATAAATATGGAAAGTTTCTTAGAGTTACCCATGAATTACCATGTTTCACTAATTCTTGGACAATGAGAAGCCACAATCGTCTGATATATGGAAACACGATGAGTCCTGCTTGAGCTGCATGAGATCGCTATATGGGTGATTTCCTGGTAGTTTCAAAGATTGATGCATAAACAGGCCTAATTGGGATGTTGCCGCCAAAAACGTGGCCGGAATGCCCAATTCTTTGGTTTTTCCCATTGGTTGATTCATAGAGGGGTTAGCCCTTTAACAAGAGGTACCCAGCTTGGTTATGACTAAGATAGCAAACTGGAAAATCCATTATAAATGGAAGTTTATAGCTGGGAAAATCATCTGTAAATGGGTCATTGTCCATAGCTATGTTAAATCACCAGAGGGTAAATGATGATTACCATCTCTCCATAACGAAATACCCTCTGGTGTATCGGACCAAGTGGGCCATCTATACCATGCGGGGTGCAGTTCCAGTGGGTGATATTTGAGGGTTTCCATAAATGGGTACCCCAATAGCTGGATGGTTTGTAATGGAACATCCCATTAAAGTGGATGATTTAGGGGTACCCCTACTTGAGGAAACCTCCATTTGATCATGTATTTGATCATAGCTTTTTGTGGGTTGTAGTTAACGGTTATAGCCCAACTTATGGAGGTTGTGATTGCATAGTTATACTTCGTAAGAATCACTCCAACTTATGGGCCCCAGCAAACTTCAAGAAATGACCGGAGGGCCCGGGTGTCTACGTACAAAGGAACACGTCCTGCAGCAGAGTCCACGTACCTGTCGCGAGCATCAATGGTGCCTTGACGATCTTGATGACCAAGCCACCACCCCCGATGAAAAATCCCATGGTTTTCATGGTCAATTTGGGGGCAAGATTGTAATATCATTGTTATTATGAATATGAATACTGTAGTATTTCAAAGTATATGTCAACTTGGATAATTGTGTGATACCATGCTTGTAAATATGATATGATCCCATAGCCCAAGTTGACTTCTGGGTATATCCATGGAATTATAAACCCCATAAGTTGGGTCATGTGATGTCATGTGGGCCATGGGGCCCCCATACGTATCGTTCTATGGGTTGGTATCTTAACCATCAAGCATCGGTTTGTGGTGCCTAGGGTAGCTACAGGGTGAGGCCCTCTAGATGCCAAGTTGACGATAATGTAGAAGACTCCTATGGCAGTTACTATGGTTTATGGGATATGTAACTATAGATAACGGGTTTATAAACCAACTTATAACTGGGGCCCAGCGGCCAGCACATGATAGTCATCTTCAATGGCACCTGCGGTTCCTGCACATACTTGCAGCATATTTTTTCATTTATCCAGCTTTTACTTGGAGTTATTGCATGATCTTGCATGTGCATCCCACTCAGCAAGCACGTGATTATATATATATAATGTTAATATTGTATTATATATCCGCCATACACACACACACATATATATATGTACATCCGGAGTTATTCCACATATTAATTTAAATATAGTAGTAATTAGTAGTACATAGAAATATATATATATATACATAATATAATATATATATATATAAATAGATAATATAATATATATATATATATAAATAGATAAGTGGCTTATGAGTTGTGGTTGCTGTAGCCACTGACCAACTGGCGACAAATGTCGGCGGTACCGGCACCTTAAGGCCACATGATCCCAATGGCCGGGCGCATCGACTGGCTCCGCTGGTGGGCCAAGGTGGAACATGGTGAAAATCCATGGGGAAAAAATATGTTTGGATGGTTGAAATAGGTTGAAATAGGTTGAAATAGGTTGAAATAGGTTGAAATAGGTTGAAATAGGTTGAAATAGGTTGACATATAATATCTCGAAATATGTTGAAATCCATGGCGAAAATCCATGAAATCCATGAAGTCCATCAACCAAACGAATTTGGATGATAGCAATGGGTAGTTCCTTGCTATTGGAAGCATCGCTGGCAAAGGTGACAATCCCTGGTTAGCCCTGGGCAGATTGGGGTGATAGAATAGAAATACAGAGCTGGGCCTTTTTTTCTGTTGCATTTTTGTTGCCAAGATATTGGCAAATCGACGAACTTCAGAACCCCTAAACATTGCATGATATTGTTGTTAATTAAAAATGGCCTTGGTACTCAAACACGCCAATGCAGGGCATATTTAGCAAGGAGTACATATTTCTATCCAGACGCTGCATGGCATATTTAGCAAATGTAGCCAACACTGTTCCAAAAACGGCAGGGTGCTGTAGGTGAATATGCTATACTATACATGCAGAAATTTATTCATTCATAGATGAATTTTTCATACACATGCCCATTCAAAAAGGCGATTGATGATCAGAAGGTATCTCTATCCGAACAATCCCATCCCCCTAATACTAAACACTCCATTCTATCGTCCCAATTATGTGGAAATTCCCCACCAAACCATGGTTGCTAAGGGGCTGTTTAATATTAAGAGGGGATTATTACAGTAACCATTGTTAACGATTCGTAAGAACTATTAACTATTATTTAACAACTAGTAAGTAACAACTATGAACCACTATCGACTCTTCTTAACCATTATCCCATAGGATCCATGTATTGTATATTTACCTACATTTGGGGTATTTACCTACATTTGGGGGTACATTGATGGTAAATGTTACCATATATATATATACACCATACATGGATCCTATGGGTATTTAACCATCATTTAACCACTATTTAACAACTATGAACCCAAAGTAAGAACTATTAACCATCATTTATTTAACATTATATTTAACCATTATTTAATAGTTTTTATATCTATGGTTAAATCCATCATCAACTCCAGATTTAGCCATCATTTAACCATCATTTAACCATCAATTAACCACTATTTGACCATTATCTAACCATGGGATGACCGCCGCTTCAGTTGTTTCTGGTCCTATCGCTGCTGCTGCTCTTGGGCATCAGCACCCACGACTTGGCGCTGCTGAGTGTGTTGAAACAAGAGCCCCTTGGTGTGATTTACTATGGAAAAATTGTGATTTACTATGGAAAAACTGGTGATTTACCCATTAAAAATGGTGATTTACCGATTAAAAACGGTGATTTACTATGGAAAAATGGTGATTTACCTATTAAAAATTGTGATTTTCCATTAAAAATTGTGATTTACCCATTAAAAAATGGTGATTTACCCATTAAAAACGGTGATTTACTATGGAAAAATGGTGATTTACCCATTAAACATGGTGATTTACTCATTAAAAATTGTGATTTTCCATTAAAAAAAGGTGATTTTCCATTGTTAGGATTGTTAAAAATGGTCAATCTTAGATGGGTAATTAATGGTGATGATTGATGATTAATCTGGCTAAATTAGAACGATCTCACTGCGACCTCACTGGAATCATGGTTAATAAGGGAAATCATCCCCAAATGGCCTTATTTCAAGTGGGGTGATGGCTTCTTTCTTAAGGTGAAAGGCCTTATTTCAAGTCAGTGAAATACTATAATTTAGCCGATTTTTTATTTCCATGGCCATTTCAGGAACCTAAATTGAAGGTACCTACCATATATAAGGCCTATTTTTGAGGCCTATGTAAGGGAATATCCCCACAAAATATGGCCTTATATGGTACAGTACCTCCATTTTAGGATCCTGAAATTCCCATTGACTGGTGCCAATAATGTTTCTTTTTTTAATGGGCTTGATAGTGGGATATATATATATATATATATATATGGATATATGGGATTTACCAAGCATGATATGGGATTTCATGGAGATTTGACATGGATTTGAAATCGAGATGTATCACCAGTTTGAAGATATTTGTGTTTGGTGTGTTTGATACAGGGGATATTTGTAGACGATTTGGCGGATTTGGAGGCAGCCAATGCCAAAGGCCTCGTCTACAAATATCGAGTTCCAAGGGGTCAGCGAAAAAAATGGACCTATAGGGCGCAAGCTGGCAAGCTGACACTCCGGTAAGAAAACAGCGTGCTGGAAAATCATGATTTTTTATAGATGACTTCCCAATATTTCCCAGCTACAAACCTCTATCTACAGTGGATTTTCTAGCCAGCCAGGTTTGATTACCAGGAGGTACCCTCTGGTAAACTAACATAACTATGGAAAATCACCATTTTGAATGGGAAAACTCACTATAAATGGCAATTTTCAATAGCTATATTAAATTACCAGAGGGTAGCTACTACAGATGAAGTGTTCAATTCGCGACTAGGCCAATGGTACATATGTCGGTGAACCTTTGAGCAGAGTTCTGTTTCAGGCTGGTCGCATCCCAAATTCATTGGAACCGTTGGTCAAATGTTTGGGCCCTCAGTTGGTCGACCTTGAGAAGTAGCATGTTTGGTACCCTCTGGTCATAAAAAAACATAGCGGAAACTGGCCCATTTTTCTTCGATGACAAATGAAGACTGATTGGTGTTTTGGAACATTTTTTCCATATATTGGGACTAATCATCCCCACTGACGAACTCATATTTTTCGTTTTTTCTGGTGAGACCTCTTAGGGATGAGCTGGCGTTACCGAAAAACGTTGAGGTAAGTCCCCGTGACGGCCCGGTCCCAAATGAAGAGGTACAATGAGGTACAAGACATTACAAGGGGATGGCTAAGGCATGGCATTTGGGGTGAGGCATGAAATGTGATGAATATCGAATCACAGCACCAGCTCTTCGCCACGGCCACTTTTCGGTGGGACCTCCTTGGTGGGACGGTCGTAGGTCATCCGTAGGTCGTCCCAGCGCGCTCAGGGAGATCATGGATTTTCGGAGTCTTCGCTGGCAATTTCCCATCCTTCGTCGCGCTTTTGTGCCTTGGAGCTGGCGCACCTGGGATATATGGATACGGAGCTGGAAAAGACTGAAAAGAAGGATAGAATCAATGGAAGGCTTATATGTGTGTATATATCTTCATATGTATATATATATATTATAGATAGATAGTTAATGATACTAATATGATATAATATAACATATATAACATATACATATATATATAACATATATATATATATGTGTGTGTATTGTTCCATCCCATTAGGATGATCCTCCCCAACATGTTTCAGCAACAAACCAGGTGTACTGAATACCAAGATAGCCTGATGATTAAAGGCAACCGGTTGGTTGATCTCATGAATCCTCAGCAGGGATGGGGAGCCAGGTGGAGCTACAATCAGAGGTCCCAAAAATTTTCCCAAGCCCATGATAGTCAAATTACGGCAATGGACAAAAACAATGTATAGAAGATGTTCCTGTTTCACCAGCCGTTTAGTGAGGATGAAATGGTGACACTAAAGTCGGGTATAAACCAATATTCCATTCATATCCGATATATGATATCCCATTGAATAAAATCCCATGAAATCCAGTGACTTTCCCATGAACCCCCCCATGAACTCCACTGAAAACCCCATAAAAATCCCAGCACCACTGGCCAAGTCCTTGTTGATGGGCCTGGCAGTTTGCCAACGCATCCTCCGGCGACGTGGCTTGGGACGATGCGCGAAGATTCTCTCGCGCTTAGGCGCGGAACTGGCCATGACTGGTGATGGCTGATGGCCATACAGGTGTCGTGGGGATGGTTCATTGGGTTTAATATCACATGATGTATGAAAAACGTGGGAGTTCCCATTTGAGTTTCCGGGAAACTTTTGTGGGAAACTCTGAATGTTGGGGACTAGAAAAGGTTTTCCGGCATGTTTGTCTAGATCAAAGCATTGAACGCCGGCAATGCAACTAAGGTTCAAGTCGTAGCCGGTTGAACATGGGCCCACATGTACTGAGCTGCAAGGGAAGAGGGTGAAAATTGTGTAAATGACTATATGATTGGTGCCAGATCTTGCGCCAAAAAAGATAGAAATGGGATGGTTAGCCTGGTTAGCCACCATTTCCAATGGGAATCATCACAAAATGGATGCAACTGCGAGATTTTCCATTGCGAGAACCGTTGCTGGTAGCTGCTATGTCAGATGAACATGCGGTCGACAGAGCTGTTTCAATCCGGGCCAGGATTCATCTATGGCCACCACGCCTCGAGCTGCACTCCAAGTGTTTTGCCCATCATAAAACGATAGTGATGATACCCTCTGGTGATTTCACAATTGAACATGGCCCATTTCTAGCTTATTTAACATTATTTATCTATTAAACATGGTGATTTTCCAGTTCGCAAACTGTTAAATTACCAGAGGTTATGTGGTGATCAAACGCCATGGCTTTTCCACGGAGTTCCATGAGTTGAAGAGTTGAACAGACTCAACTCCTATCCTGGCTAGAAACCACAGTAAAAATCCATGGAACTATGAAAACACAATAACATCAATAACATTGAAGATCACGATCCCAAGTATCCCAAGTCAGGATTTATTGTACTTTGTTAATCCATCAAGGCTAAAACAGACCCTGAAGAACTGTGCTGCCATGCGAATCCCGCCTCGCCTGGCTTTCAATGCGCATGGCCGCGGGTTCAGCGCCCTGCGTTTGGAGCCGCCGAAAGCGCCACGCTCCGCGGTGATTTTGCTCCATGGCCTGGGTGACACGGCGGAGGGATGGCTGTCAGGGGCCCATTTCCTGCTGCAGGGACTACCGGAGACACGCTTTCTGCTGCTTGGATGGTGATGGTGGCAAGTTCTGCAAGGGAAAACCTAGGGAGATAAGAGGAAATAAGGGGAGAAAGACAGATACAGATATATATTTGCCATATGTTATTTGTGGCGAAATGTTGTCCGTTTGATCTATTGTTTCCAAGAAACCAGTCATTTTCTGAATTAGTCTCTGATTTTCTGTGGTCTAATATGTGGTAAACCCAATAGTAATCCAGGATAAACCAGGTAAACCAAGTGGAATTTCAGACCTGTGGAGTTCCGCGGTGTAGGAAGTTGGAAGAGGCACCTCACAACATTGTTTTTTTTTTAAATTTCAATCTGACTAACATGCAGATGGGAACCCCAAATTGCCAAACTCGGCCGAACTATATTACTATATGATTCCGGATCTTTGTTTTTTCCCCATGCTGCCCTCAAGTAGACTGTGAAATGATGGAAGTTTTGGCCTCATATTAACAGATTCTGATGGTTATGGGCCATACTTGGCGTACCAAGAGGCCCCAAAACATGTAACACCCAATGACATTTCATTATAAGTCATTTTGGTTGGTTGATGATTTTGGCGCATACCCACATCCCAGTGGCTTTGAACATGCTTGAAGTGGTTTTCGGGAAGATTCCTAGAGTCTCTTTTTCATTAGACAGAAATCACCCAAATTTATCCAAGTTTGGGAAACTCCACCAAATTTGAAAGACATCTTCAACCAAACCATGTTAGAAACCAACATTTTCCAGGTGATTTTGTCCAACTTTTGGGTCTGAGCCCTGCAGGTTGCCCACTGCACCCATCCAAGCTGTCACGTTGAACGGCGGCATGGCCATGCCCAGTTGGTACGATATCCGCGGCTTGGGTGAACGTGCGGATGAACCCTGTGATGGCAACCCGGCGGAGTTGCCCCAGATGCTGGATGCTGGATGCTTGGGAAATTTCGGCAACCAAATCAGCACACATGTGAAACAAAAGTTGGGGATTAAAACTCGGTTTAAAACTTGTTTCAACATGGTGCCCACATGGTTTCATTTTTTTAAAAAATAAACATGAGCACTGGAATTCATATGGGTCCAAAAAAACATTAAGAAACATTGGGAATTGAATCACCGGGGGGGTTCAATCCGGTGGTGAATGGGGGAAGGAGCTCCGAATCGAGTTTCCCCAGCGCGATGTGGAACATGTTGGATTATCAATTCTGGGGGGATATTTGGTAATCAACCCGACAATAGTTGAGGTTTGACAACATGGCTGGTTGGTTCTTTCGAATATCCAACAATCAATGGGTGACGCAGCCAACAATCAGATTGGGGATATAGCCAACAAAGCTGCTTGTCATATGAGCAAATTTAGTGGGTGACTTCTTCCATATGTTCAACTTTCAACATTTTTCAACCACTTATTCGTGATAATGATCCCCAATCTATAGCCAATGACTATCATATTCTAGATGTTCTAGGACAGGTTGAAAAGTTGAAAACCACCAGTCAGAGGGGCAGATTTGTTTGGGATTCCCCGATGAAGCCTAGAGGTTTTGGGGCCGAGGTATCGAGGACAGCAGAGCGACAGTGAAGAAGCTGATCCAAGAACAGCAGCTGGGATTTTGCTTGGGAAAATGGCAATGATAGCGGGAAAAAATGGAACAACTATAACTATGGGATTTACCAACATTTACCAAGCATTTTATGGAGATATCATGGGGATACATGATGAATAATGGTGAACAATTGGGAGTTAGCCATGAAAAACAGCAGAAACACACGGGAGCCAAACATTGTTCACTAGTTATTTAATCAATTAATATCAATTAATCAATCATGGATTGATGAGTATTTGATGTGTATTCCTGTCCATTTGGCAGGCCAGTTCACCTTGGTACCCTTCTATTTCAATTTATAGGTGGGGTTTTTGGATGGGCATCCGCCCATGGTCGAATATCCTGGGAATCATCGCAGAAATGGAGATTCCTACTATCCAGCTCCAGGATGGCAACCCCTGTGTTGCACTTAGGGTGGTTAGGGGTGCTTTTCAGTTAGTAGCTGGGTAGTAAGTTTATGGAATCTGTCCGGTTAGTTCAAGTTATATTTGCATTAAACAAATCTGACATGTACAATATTTACACATGATGACCTGGGTTACAATATTGTTCCAGGGATGCGGCAGCACTCACATCCTTAGTAGTACTCCCCTTAATGGCATGCCAATTCCCTAAGGTTAGACGAAGGCATCCCAGCAGACAAGATGATCCTGGCTGGCTTCTCTCAAGGAGCAGCAGCTGCGTGGAAGTGATGAGGTTGGCAATAAGGGCTAAAGAATGCTAAAGACATGGAGAAACATGTGGGAACCAAATGTGTAAATGTATATATCTATACATACATAGGCATAATACACCATAATACTATTTTGTATTTGTATATGCTTATATGTAGTAATATGTACATGTGTGTATATATGTGCATGTGTATTTTCATTTGCTTATGGTTGCAATCATAATATTTTATGATGCGGTATGATGCGGCATCGCTGTGGAAAATGGACCATTTATGGATGAATTTCCCATCAAACATGGGAACCCCTCGCAAGTATTTTCCAATACACCCCGCATGGGCCCCCAATTCATTAATAGGTCCAATACTAGTTGCTAGACCTTATACTATATAGACTTCGTTCAGAGGCACTATATCATAGACTATATCTAATAGTATGTTCGGGAGAAGGCATTTTAAAAACTCACACAGGCCTCCTTAAAGAATTTCTAGTTGGGGCGCCACATCTTTAGTTGGTTTGTAAACCCACGAAACTTTATATATATATATATACATATAGATTCACCATAAATGATCAGATATGTGTACAGTGTAGACTATGTCACATGTAGCATATATGTTTGTATATGTGCTGCAGCCATTTTAGTGCTTTCAGCTACCTTCGAGCTGACTGAGTGAAAAGGTGCTGATCAGTGCTCAGGAGTGTTCATCAGATTTAAGAGCCCAAATTCTCTGTTCATGGTAGCGGAGCTGAGGTTCTGATACCCAGCTGTGAATGTGTAGGTGTCAACGCCGAGCTGCATCAGCTCTGGCGCGCCTACCCAGTGCCAACTGGAAAAGGTTGACACTCAAGCTCCTGAAAATCAGGAAACTCCAAAGGTACTTCCATAACCTGGGAGTGCATCTTCAACAGTATCCAAGGGTTCTCTTGAATCAGGTCTCAAAGCACCTGAAGAACGACTAAGGATGGCTCAGCAACAGCAGCCACCTCAGCAACCAGGCACTCCACCAGCACCACAACAAGCACAAGGCAATGGTCCCAACATGTCCTTGATGGTTATGCAGATGATGGCCCAATTGACTCAGGGTCAGGCGCAGTTGAGCCAGGCAATGACCGAGGCTATGAACCAGCAGCTTCAGATCAACAGAAATGTTGAGAGATCTGTTGAGTACAAAGACAGATCAGAGTTGAAAGGCATACCAAAACCTGATAAGTTCACTGGAGCATCAGGCACTTGGGATAGTTGGTGGTACAAGTTTAAGACATGGGTTGAAAGTTGCCACAAGAATGCTGTGAAGATTGTGGCACAAGTTGAATCTCAGTGTGACAAAGAGATCACTGAGTCAAGTCTAGAAGTAGACTTTGATGAAGGCGCCGAGCTAGTTTCAGCTCAGGCTAGACAAGCCCTCATATCATTGACTGAGGGAGAAGCGTTGGAAATTGTCAAGAACACATCTCGTGGTAGCCACTTTGGCCTAGAAGCCATGAGACGACTGTTGTGCAAATATGATCCTCAAAATCCTCAAGCCAATTCAGCCTTGTTGAAAAAGGTTCTGCATCCAAGTCAATGCAGTCTTGATAAGCTTCGAGAAGGGCTTGAGAGTTGGGAGAACTTGAAAAGAAAGTACGAAGACAGGAGAAAGAAACCACTTGAAGATGACATCTGCAGGAGTTGCTTGCAGCAGATGTGTCCCAACAAGTTGCAAGATCATTTGGACTTGCAGGCTTCGAGATTGACCACGTATGACCAGGTGAAAGCTGAAGTTTTGGCCTACCTTGAGAACGTCGAGACCAGGAAAGAAGCAAAGTCAGGAGCCGTTCCCATGGATGTGGATTCCCTTGCTAAGGGTAAGGGAAAAGGAAAACATGATAAAGGGAAAGGCAAAGGTAAGTCCAAAGGTAAAGACAAAGGAAAGAGTCAGTCTTCGTCTTGGTCAAACAATTCATACAACAAGTCTTGGAACAATCAGTCTTGGAACAATCAATCTTGGAATCAGCAGTCTTGGTCTAAACAGAATACCAATGACTCCAAGAGCAAAGGCAAAGGTAAGAAAGGTCAAGACAAAGGTAAAGGAAAAGGGGATCAAGGCAAAGGTCGTAAAGTTGCTAATGTTGAGTCTGACACTTGGGCTCAAGAGCAACAACCTGCAGCCTCATCTGGTGATCAACCTGAACCAGAGATCACTGCGCTGTTTGCCTTGGAAGACACTATGCCACCCAAGTCTGAAGCTCGAGATGAATCTTCTCGTCGTGGTCGAAGCCCAAGACGAGCAAACCTTCAAGCACCTTCAAGGAGCACTGTGACCAGGAGCGCTATCGTCATGGCTCAGAGCGCTTTGGCATCAGCTTCTGGGTCTAACAAGGAGCTGTTTGGCAAGATGATTGCTCAGGCTGAGAGCGCTGTCAAAGAAGCTCAGGACAAAGGGCGTCAAGCAAATCAAGCTCTTAAGGAACGCCAAGAAGCCCTGGACAAGTTGAAGAAAGAGGCAGCCCAGCATCACAAAGAGGCCAAAGAGGCAATGGCCAAAGTGAGGGCAGAAGGCCGTGCTGCTTCAGCACCGGCTGCACCCTCTCGTCGGATGCAAGCCGACCTTGATGCTGGAGTACATCCAAGAGCTGCCAAGAAGAAGGAGAAGGACAGGCAGAGAGCTGCCAGTCATCGAGCAGCCACTGCTGGACAAAGAGCATCCAGCTTCAAGCGCTATGAGTTGGCCACCTTTGGACAGGCCAACCCTGACAAGTGGGACAAGGATGACATGGGAGATCTTCCTGAACCTCCCAAAGCAAGAAAGCTGGAACCCAAGCGCCATAGAGGAGGACATCACAGGTCTGAAAGACGAAGAGCAGATGAAGCAAGGAAGAAGGCCAATAAGGAAAAGATGAAAGAGATGAGTAAGGATGAGATCCCACAATGGATCCATGACAAGTGTGAGATTTCCTCTGAGGAGAGCATTTCCTCTGAAGGATATGAGTTTGTCAGCAGACTTGAAAAGCTGAAAACCGATCCTGAAGTCCTCAGCAAGTTGGACAACGTCTTGAAGGAAGCCTACGAGAAAGCCTATGGTGAAGTTCTTGACCTAGGATCTTCTGATGAGACAGATCCAGACGATGTGCCCTACAACCAGGAGCCAGCACCAGGCATGGAAGATGTGGTCGAGCATTGGCAGAATTCCTTTCGAAGACCCATTCCATTCAAGGAGTTGCATGAGAAGTGCAAAACTGTCTCCAACAAAGGGTATCCCTATGTGAAGTGCCAGTCATGTGGAAAGGCACTCAACTCCATGAGCGTTGCAAGCTTTTGGCAACATGTGGAGAACAAGCAATGCTATCCTCAACGTGCCCTGGAGTTTTGGAAGAAAGAACATCGTCAGGTAAAGGCAGAGAGAGAGGCACGAGAAGAAGGAGAATCATCCCAGAAGCGCCCCATGGATGATGCAGAAGCCAAAGATGAGAAGAGGCGCCAAGAGATTGCCAAAGATGAAGAAAGGAAGAAGCGCAAGCAAAGCTTTGAGGAGCACTACGAGCGCTTCAGGCACAAGGGCAAAGATGAAGTGAAGCCCGAGGTGAAGAAGATCCCCAAGAGGCCAGGGGAGAAAGAGAAGGTCGAGGAGAATGAGAAAGAAGAAAAGAAAGAAGAAGAAGAGGCACCCAGAGCACCCATCGAGCTGAAGTCCAAATCCCCATCGAGAGCGCCTGAGGACAGCCGGGCTGATTCAGCCCAGGCGTCCAAGGGCAGGGGAAAGTTCAGCATGGGCACCAAGAGATTCCTGGAGAAGACGGTGCGTGATGCAGCTAACTACATGGAAAGAAAAGCCAGGAAGAAGAGGGAGAAAACGCCATCTCCCAAGCCCAGGGAGCACTCACCAGGAGGAGGAGTTCGATCAGACTCCAACCTCGACTTCCTGGGAAGTTTGGCATCTCAGGTGGATACCATTGTCTGGGCCACCGTTGACTCAGGGGCAGCAACCAGTTGCCTACCCAAGGAATTGGCACAGTCATTGGAGTTGGCTATGACACCTGTGGATGAGAAGCCGTTCACCAACGCATCAGGGCAGCCAGTCCAGGTGCATGGGGTGTGCAACCCTATGGTGACCATGGGTGAGAAAGGAGGCCCACAAGTCAAAGGTGTGGGACAATTCCGGGCAATGGATGTTGCAAAGCCATTGTTGTCTGTGTCCAAGCTGGTTGAGAAAGGCTGGACAGTAACCTTCGGCCCCAATGGATCGTTTCTGCAAAGGGGAGCCAAGAAGGTACCAATCACAATGACTGGAGGAGTCTTCAAAGTAGCCATGGATTTTCATGGGCAGCCCACAGAAGGGTTGAAGGCGTAAGTCCTGTGGAGACCACAGAGAGCGCAGGTAGTGGAGATGATGAACCGGGCAGTAGTAAGCTAGGTTCTCAAGCGCTACCAACTGCAGCAGCGCTACCAACTGCAGCAGCGCCGACGCAGAGAGAAAAAGAAGAGCATTTTGTCAGCCATTATCCTTTTAGGAGTTGGTGTGAACATTGCATTCGAGGTAAGGCAAAGGCAATGAGACATGTCAAAGTAGATCATTCAGATGAAACAGTTCCTGTGATCTCAGCTGACTATTGTTTCATGAATTCAGTGGATGACACTGTCATCACAGAAGAAGTGCAGAAAAAGCATGCACCAGTTTTGATAGTACATGATCGATGGTCCAAGTTGACCTACGCGCACGTTTTGCCGTACAAGGGAGTTACCCAAGGTCCTATTGGATCTAAGTGTCTTTTGAATGACCTTAAGAAGTTTGGGTACCCCAAGATGGTCATGAGGTATGACCCAGAGCCTGCACTCAACTCCGTAGTTGAGGCAGCCAAGAATGGTTTTGACAAACAGTTGGTTTTGGAAAAAGTTCCCAAAGGAGTCTCAGAATCCAAAGGGGAAATTGAAAGAGCAGTTCAAGCTATTGAATCTCAATCCAGGACACTCAGAAGTGCCTTGGAGACAAGCTATGGAAGAAAGGTGCCAGACGACCACCCAGTTTTGACATGGTTGGTTGAACATGCTAGCACCACTTACAATTTGTTTCACAGATCATTGGAAGTCAAAGATGGGAAGACACCGTACTCTAGACACCGTGGTCGTGAGTGGAGAGTGTCATTACCACCATTTGGGGAAACAATTGAATTCCTCAAAAGAGGTCACAAGTTTGAACAAAGATGGCACCAAGGAGTTTTCTTGGGAGTCAAAGACAATACCACTGAGAAGATAGTGGGAAATGCATCAGGTGTTTTCACTGTGCAAAGCATTCGACGCAAGAGTGCTGACGACAGATATGATGCCGAAACTTTGATGTCAGTCACTGGGGTTCCCTGGGATCCTCAAGCATCAAAAAGAGATGATGTTTTGCTTCCTCAGATTGTTGGGGGAGATCAGCAGCCACTGGCGCCATCAGTGCCAGTTGAGCCACCAAAGAAGTCGACAAGACGACTTTACATCACCAAACGTGATTTGGACAAGTATGGCTACACCGCTGGTTGTGTCGCCTGTGATGCCACTAGAATTGGCAAAAGAGGCACTGGAGTTCATCACACTCCAGCCTGCAGAGAAAGGATGGAACGTCTGCTTCAAGCAGAAGAGGGCAACCTGAGAGTAGCCCAACATACGGCCAAGGTTGATTCTGAAATCACTGGTCAGAAACAAGAAGTGTCCGAAGAAGGCACAAAGATTCTTTATGGGTATTCAAGTGAGAAACCACAAGAAGTTCCTCACGGTTTTAAGGTGTTTGCGCGCCTTGACAAGAATGCAAGGTATCTCAAGGGTACTATGCCAGAAGGTCCCAGTTGGGATAATGTCTGGTGGAGAGTCACCAGAGATTTCAAAACAGGAAACATTATCAAGTCTGAACCAATGGATCCTAGTTTAGGAGATGAAGTCATCAACGCGCCTTTGATTGATGACGCAGATATCGTCACTGAACTGTGGTACTCAGCCACAGGGGAATCTGCTCCAAGTTTGCCAACAGCTGGACCTGCTATCGCGAGGCAGAGTCCTGCTACCGGACAAGCTGCAGATCCACCTGCAGAAAGCGCAAGCGCAAGCACAGCCTCAGCCAAGAGGGCAGGAGGCGAGCAAGAAGAAAGAGCACACAAAAGGTTGGAAATGTCTCCAACCAAAGGTCGGAAAAGACCTGCAGACTCAGGAGGCGAAACGTCAAAGTCCAAGGACAGCCGAGCTGCTTCAGCTCAGGCGTCTAAGGGCACCAAACGGCCACCTGAGAATGAGAGACCAGAAGACATGGATGACATAGACCAATGTCTTATGAACCTGATCATGGAAGATCGGGAGAAGTACCTTCAGTCCATTGAAGGTGAAGAAGAGCCAGTTTGTGAAGAGACAATTCCTCTTCCACCAGAACTGGAAGATGAAGCAGCCACATGGTATTATTACGATGATATCAGTGGAAAGATTTTAGACAGCAAAGGTGTAGAACAAGCCAGAAAAGATGAGGTCGAAATCATCGAAAGTTTTCCAGTTTGGGAAAAGATTCCCAGACACAAGATGCCCAAAGGGGTACGCACCATTGGAACACGATGGGTAGATGTCAACAAGCAGGATGAAGAGAATCCACTTTATAGAAGTAGGTTAGTAGCTCAAGAAGTCAAGAAGGGCTCAGGTTTTGATGAGTTCTTCGCAGCTATGCCCAGTTTGTCGGCTTTGAAGATGCTAGTTACAATAGCCGTCACGTTTCAGTTGCCAGACGCTGGAAAAGCTGTCAAGGAAGCCTATCGCAAGCGTAGACTTCTAGGATTTTTGGATGTGAAACGCGCCCACTTTTACTCAGATGCGACGCGTGAGATCTATGTGGAACTTCCTGCAGAAGCAAAGAAGCCTGGAGAAGATGTGGTAGGAAGATTGCTCAAGTCTTTGTATGGAACCAGAGACGCACCTCTCAACTGGGAGTTGCAAATACAGAAGGTTATGTTAGCCTTAGGTTTCAAGCAAGGAAAAAGCAATCCATGCATTTACTACCATGCAGGCCGAGACCTCAGAACTGTTGTACATGGAGATGATTTTACAACAGCCGGAACATTTGACAACATCAAATGGCTTCATGAAGAGCTGTCGAAGAAGTGGAAATGTGTGGAACGTGGTATTTTAGGACCACCAGGAACACCAAACACCATCCAGGACATCAGAGTCCTGAACAGAATTATCACATGGAAGGAGAATGGAATTTGGTGGGAACCAGATGCACGTCATGCAGAGTTGGTGATTGATTTACTCGGAGATGGTCCCCGAGGAGCCAAAGTCAAGACACCACTTGCCAAGGGTTCAGTGGAAGACCTCAAGAACGCCACTGTTTTTCTCAATGATGAAGAAGCAACCCAGTACAGATCAGTTGCAATGCGAGCAGCTTATTTGGCACAAGATCGACCAGATCTGCAAGTAGCGACAAGATCTTTAGCACAAGGGCTACAACGACCAACTACCAGCCACATGCTTATGCTCAAACGAGTTGCACGATACCTAAGGTATCGACCACGCATGGCACAATTCTTTCCTCATCAGAGCAAACTCAGTCCATTTGTGATGTGGTCTGATGCTGACCACGCTGGTTGCGTGAAGACGAGGAAGAGCGTGTCAGGAGGCGTCCTGATGGCCGGAGGTTGTTGTATCAAGACTTACTCTAAAGGACAAGGAGTAGTCAGTCTTTCGTCTGGAGAGAGTGAGTATTACGCTCTTGTGAGCGGTGCCAGCAATTTGCTGGGAGAAGTTTCAACCGCCAAAGACTGGGGTTTGCAACCCGAGAGTGAAGTTTTCATGGACGCAAGTGCAGGAATAGCAATGGGTTCTCGCAGAGGACTAGGCAAGGCCAAGCACGTGGATACTCAATACCATTGGGTACAAGACCGCGTTGCCAAGCGCTACTTTCGGCTGAAGAAGGTCGACACTGGCGATATGCTTGCCGACGTCTTGACGAAACCCGTCATAGAGGAGAAAATGAACAAGGCACTGCGGAATATGAACTTTCACTTTCTGGAAGGTGAGCATCACCTGACACTGAGAGCATAGATGGCTTGAGCGTGGCTATGAGTAGCTGTACATATCAAAACTCGCCTAGTTCAAATAATTGGACGGGAGCGCCGTTTTAAACAGGCTCGGGAGGCGTGATCAGATATGTGTACAGTGTAGACTATGTCACATGTAGCATATATGTTTGTATATGTGCTGCAGCCATTTTAGTGCTTTCAGCTACCTTCGAGCTGACTGAGTGAAAAGGTGCTGATCAGTGCTCAGGAGTGTTCATCAGATTTAAGAGCCCAAATTCTCTGTTCATAAACCATAGTTAATCTATGGTAAAACCAACTTCACTAACTTGAGTGGGTCCCCATCGTTGTGACGGTTTTTTCTCGCCTTGCAGGAGGTGCCCTGTCGCTCTACACGGGCTTATTGTTGGAACACCGCCTTGCTGGCATCGTGTGTATGTCAGGTCCCTTGATGTCGTTTTTGTTGCACCAAAAAACACTTAATAAGAGAAGAATGGAATGCAACTGGAAACTCTTTGGGGTTCAGAGTTTATGGAAGATCATGAGGTTTTTTTCTGGGTTTAGCTGAGATATGGTCATAGCGCTCCATCCACTCGTGTCATAGTAGTGTTGATTTAGCCATAAAAAATGGTGATTGTCCATAGCTATGGGACAGTTTACCAGAAGGTACATCCCGTGCATTCCCTCATCCACATGATTGTTTTTTGCTTGAAGGCTTGAAGCTTCTTCGCTGAAGCACCTTGTAAAGTCATGTGTTCAGTCCATTTTTTGCATCATAAGTTGGCTGGTCCCAAACATGGTGACTTAGAAGTTCTACATATTGCTGGTTGCTACATCATAGCGGTTAAATCCATCTAGTCGAATTCGGTGCGATCCTAAATCCCAGGGCCTTCATGTTACTTTTGGACCACCCAAAGCCCCATGAAAGCAATTGAAAACTCTTCCTAACCCGTTAAAACCATTCAATCAATCACCATTTTGCTGCCCATGTTCCAAGTTTATCCATCCCTCGAACTATCAGCCGTTAAATCATGCAAATCCACATAACTTGAACTGGTGAAATCATCCATGTCTCCCCATTTTCACATATTTTCACCATAAATCCACCTTTTTCCGCCATGGTGACCCCAGTGACCTCCCCAAGCCTCCCAGGTTACCTCCCCTTTAGCCGCAGCTTCCAACCCAGTGCCTCCGCCCTGAAGACCCCGGTGCTGCACTGCCACGGCACAGCGGATCACTTGGTGCAACTTCCCTGGGCCGAAGCGGGGCTTCAACGGCTGAGAGAGGTGCCCATGGACAGTGCGGAAACATATGTTTTGGTGGAAATCTAGATTAATCATCGGGAATGTGAGTTTTTTTGATGTTTAATCATGGATTATTTACTGATATTTATTAATGGGTATCATTTTTAGAATGGAATATGAATGGATAATTCTGGTGGAAATTGTTGAAGATTATAAATAGATGAACCCACTGGATGGGCAGCTGCTAATCCTTTAATCTTTTCCCATAGGAATATCTACATTTCCCAGCTCAGAATTTCATTTTTTGTAGGGTATCTAAGATTGCCCATGAATTTGCATGGTCTATAGCAACCCCTACAGAGATAGAAACGTACGAACACCTGGAAATATCAGGTATAAATATCATTTGTACCATCCAGGACACCCTTTTCTATCTTTTTCGGGGTTACTATATTGGGATTTCACCAGCCAAAACAGGGAGAGCACCTGACCAAGTTAACTTGGATTTACCCAACAGACATGACCATGAAAACGATCTACGATCGGATCTGCTTGCAGATCGACATGGATTAAAAATCGGGATTCTCAATCTAGCCATATATTGCCATGTTGGATCGTGACTACACAAATGTGTCACCGTTGTGTCGAATCTATAACTGGTTGATGATTAATGGTTAATAATGGTTATATAATGATGGTTAATGATGGTTAATGGGTTTTCCCTTCTCTTCCCAGGTGCAAATCTCTGTTGAGTGGCGTTTGTATGACATGGGGCACAGCGCTTGCGAAGACGAACTGGAGGATGTCACAGAGTGGATCGCGGAACGGCTCGCTGTTTAAATGTGGCATAGTCAGATTCCCCAGAAGTCACAAGGAGATCATCCCATTACCCTCTGGTAAACTAACATAGCTATAGAAAATCACCATTTTTTCTGGGAAAACTCACTATAAATGGCCATTTTCAATAGCTATGTTAAATTACCAGAGGGTACAGTATATGATGATGATTATAACTTAGTTTTATTGTTATTATCTTATTGTTTCTACTATTGTTATTATTATCATACTATATTATTGTTTTTTGGGCATATAGAATTATTATCCTCAATAGGTGGGTTCCGATTTTTTGACTAGATCCAATACTAAACCAGGATTTCGTACTTGGGTGCATTTGATCTCATTTGATATTTTATACTACACTAGGATTTAATCTTCTGAGGGGGAAGGGGTAATATACTAAACTGCTGAATTTTCAGCAGCCAAGGGGTGTCAGTGGTACGCCCCTCAAATTTAACATGGAATCTCAAAAATGGGCTACATCCAGTAGTAACAAAAATCTTTGGGACACCATTTTCACATATTTCCACATTCCATGGTGAATCTGTTGGGTTGAGACTGGGCCCAAAGCGGCCCAGAACCTGGATCTTTCTGGCAACCGTTTGCGATGCAAACAGCGCTTCTGAATATTTGGAGCCTACGAAACCAGGAGTACCTTCTGGTAAACTGTCCCATAACTATGGAAAGATCCACCATTTTGAATGGGTAAATCAACATAAATCAACTATTTCATACTATTTCTATGTCCTTTTTCAATAGCTACGTTAAATTACCAGAGGGTAATGCCAACCCTGGATTTACAAATCTTGGCTGATGAACATCAGTGGTTTTCAGAATGCAGCATGATCAGGAGCCACAACCGTGGTTTATAGTGTATGTAGGGGGTTATACTATCCGGTTTATTGATGTTTATTGGGGATTATAATCCATTACTATCCGGTTTATTGATGTTTATTGGGGATTATAATCCATTTGGAACCAACCAGCCGATTTGAGAGATGGCACTGCACTAAACAGTGCACTAAACAGCTCAACACCTGCGAATCCCCGCCCTCAGTCTGCCGTCCAAAGTATCACATTGACACACCCAAAGCCAGCTATTTCGGTGTGATGGTGATTTCTTGGTCGTGTTTTCAATATCAAATCCCCATTGGATGGCCTCCCTTTGGACGCTGCCAGGCATTCCGTTTCTCATCGTATGGAACTTGGGTGCTCCGACCGCAACAAGGAAGTCCATGGGGATGCAATGGAAATTTCGGAAGGTATCCAAGTTGTGAAATGATGAAAAATGTAGACTTTAAATAATAGCCAATGTATCTTTTTATAATTTATAGATACCCAATGTTGAGGTTATGAAGACTTTGCCCAACCTTGTGGAAACTGCCCCAAAATCATCCCTTTTCTTTTGACTGCGGAGACTGTTCGGAAAAGGCACCCCAATTTTCAGGCTAAGAAATTGGGGGATGAAGCCTTTGAACTGGCTTTACCCCAGGAATTAACCTTCATTTAGCTCCAGATTTTCCCAGCCATGTTTGATTAGAGGGTAAGATAGGGTAAGTGGATGAAGGTCCAGCCCGGTATCCGCACCTGGGCCCAGGGCATTCAATCCTGCCATTTTTGGCTCAAGATGTTGCAACAAGGACACTAAGAGTATAGAAATTGCAAGTGACATTATCTGGTTGGTGGTTTGGAACATGTTTTTCATATACTGGGAATAACCATCCCAATTGACTTTCATATTTTTCAGAGGGGTTGAAACCACCAACCCAGTTGTCATTTCGCACTTTTTCCTCTTGGACAGGGCTTCGTGGAACTCGTCACTCAGGATGGGCGTTTGCTGACAAACCCTGAGGACACTTTGCAGGGGTGCTAGAAGGAAAGTACCCAACTGCTGTGGTGCAACGAGTAGAACTCACTGCATCTAGCGGTGCATTCGCTGGATGGTGCCGCAGAGGTAGAAGAATGCTGACGTGGGGGATCCAAACTGTGGTGCTGACTGTTCGTCAGTTCAAGATCAGCTCAGGAACGTACAGCAAATTTATGCCACAGGTAGCGCGTTTGCCACGATCTTGGCCGATGGATTCGTGGTTACTTGGGGCAATCCAGATGATGGTGGTAATTGTTCTGAAGTTCAAGATCAGCTGAGGAATGTGCAGCAAATAGAAGGCTGTATGTATTTTGAAGCAGAAAGTCCAATGACCCACCCTCGCGCCTCAAATTTTGGCCAAGGATGTTCTCAGTGCTATATTAAATATGTTGGAGTTGTTGTCATGAACATGGCGCTGACAACATCCTTATGGCCAAGGATGTTCTCAGTCCGATGTTCATGACAACAACTCTAACATATTTAATATATGCTATTAAAGTCTATCAGGAATGAAACAGATTAAAAGGGACTGGCATGGTTTAGCATGTCTAGCACATTGCCTAAAGCAAGATTCAAGCGAGCGTTCTCTGCATCGGAGTCATCATTTGGCGCTTTCTGAGATGCCACTCCAAGAATTTGCTACGGACCTAGGCCGCAGGCCGCCTTACACGTCTACAGTCACAGTGGTTGCAGCCATGACCGACCTAGGCCGCAGATAGATCTTGCGAACAGACGGGAGCATTTGCCGCGATCTTGGCCGATAGATCAGTAGTCAGTTGGGGCGATCCAGATGGTGGTGGTAACTGTTCCGAAGTTCCTGCGATCAGCTCAGGAACGTGCAGCAAATTTATGCCACAGGTAGAGCGTTTGCCACGTGCTCTTGGCTGATGGAGTGGCTACCTGGGGCAAGCCAGTCAGGGGTGACTGCTCTGCAGTACCTTTGACCAGTTTCACTGCAACTTGCAATAACTATTTTACAAAATTAATGACAATGATAAGGATGATTACTGCTGTAACAGAGAACAATGTTGCAGCATTAGTTATCCTCATCAGTCCTTATCATTAGGATTATTCATTATATATATTATATCATCCTCATTATCATATTTATCATGTTTTCCAAGCTCATGTTCCAAATCAAAAAAAACTGTTTGCAGATTTTGCAGTTCGTGTTCCAAACGCTGCCAAGGAGTGGCACGTGACCCGCACAAATGGCGAGCTCCACTTGACTCCTATTTTTTCGCAGGGTGTTGAAAGAAACAACCAGATTACCCTACTGGTTACAAGGCCCTGGCCCAAGGTTAGCTAACATAGATGTGGATAGATATCGCACATAAACATTAGACATCTACGGTTTTCCCAGGAAATCAGCTACAACTAGTGGATTCTCCATCTATATCTGAAAAAAAAAAACGCTGAATTACCAGTACTATTTGTTTCAATTCACCGAGGTCACGTGACACCCTCTCTTTATCCAACCTGTAACGAGGTCTTGCGGTGCTGGTGTTGAGTCCAGTCTGCGTCGCCTTGTTCTTGATGCGCCTGGCTCAAGGGAAATCTGGGAATATGTGCTCTATTTTGCTGTGAAAACGGCAGAAAACCGCAGGTTTCATGAAATGTCGTATGGGTAAATAAACAACATCTACCGTACTTCTAATTGTATACATGTTTTCGAGTGAGCTGCATGTGAAGAGTTTTAGGCCGGTCAGCTAGTCCTCTTAAAGGTGGGTATGCTCGTGTCAAGCGCTATAATTTGATTGCAGAAGTCATTTAGAATTGTGGTAGTTTTTGGTGGGGTGGATGTCATTCCAACTACTAATAATAATTATAAAATATATTTACAATATACGATGATATACGCATATGCTTGCCACAAGATTGATTGAGTGCAAATGGAAGCGTTTCCTTTCTGATCTTAAGTATGATTGATTGGAGCCTGAAGCAGTGCAATCATCATTAGGATTGAGCTGCAGCAGTCGATCATTTTATGGTAGTGACCACTTGGTAGAATCATCCCCAAACGGACACCAGTTTCAGGTGAATTGTGACCAAATTCAGCTACCATTTCAGATATTATAAAATTGGATACCCTCCCAATCCCTGCAAATTACTGGGTAAATTATATATAATGACCTCATAGCGACCTCGGTTAAGATTCGGGGAATCATCTCCAAGGTAGCCGAACTTTTCAGGTTAGTCTGAATTATTATAGTTTACCCAGAACTATGGATTAACCTTAATAACAATGGTTAGTTTATAGCTGTTTATAGCTGACATCAATGGTTACGATTGGGTTACTTAATAGCTGAATTTTATGAGTTGCTTAGGTGTAACATGTGGTTTATCAATGTTTATCATACAGCCTGGTCACATGGAAAAATTATATGTTTATCATGGTTGTATCCCAGGCATCCGATCCGCCTCTCGCGTGCCGCGGTCTTCGTGCAAAGTCTCGTGTGTGCCGTGTACAGCAGCGGCCTCGTGATACGATGCGCCGTGCGGACACTGTGGGACTGGTGAGTGGCAAACATGTGGGACACTCATTGTGGTAACCCCAGAAAAAGATAGAACAGTAAAATCCACCCAAAATCATAGCAATTGACTTTTCTATCTTTTTTGGGGGTTCCTAATAGTTTTTTTTTTGGGTGAGCAGGGTAGTGTTGGTTGGACATAGTGAGGTGACCAGTCAGATGTGAAAGTTTTGTGTTTGCTGGAAAACCTGATTTCTCGTTGGTTCAGTTGCTACTTCTTCGCTACAAAATGGAGGAATATACAGAAACTAACAGTGGAAACATCACCATTTTTTGCAGCCTGAGATCGGCCATGCATCGTCATGACAGTCACCATACATTTTTGGTGTGCAATACTCCAGTGCTTGGCAGAGGCCTCAATGCCTCGATGATGAGACCACAAGTTTTTTTTTTTGGGGGGGAGGTAGCTTATGGAAATGGGAGTCCCATCATTGCTGTCACCAAATTTAAGGTGCCCTTGAAATGTAGACATCTTCTTG